TAAAACCTGTGGGACAGAGATGCTTACACAAGGAATTCTTATGTATGGCAAGAGATTTTTTGACTTGATAGACCATGACGCTACCTTGATTTAGCTGAGAGTTGACTGTATCCAATTTTAACTGTAGCTTAGTTGGTAACTTCATAGTTGAAGTCCAGTCTAGATCTAATATCTATCATAAAAAAAACCTTATCAAACAAAGGAACAATCGTCGAGTATAAGAAAATCCTCTAATCATCACAGCATTGATGGGGAATAGCATAGTGAAGATAATAAAATATACAATATTGTGATTGTGTAATTAGAAGTAAACGAAGAACTCACCAAGTTGCGGCACCCATCTCGAAACCTGTTCCGCGCTGGCTAGAACCACTTCTTCGTTATGTTCCTTAGCTTCTTCTTCAACTGAGGATGCTAGTGTAGGTTGCAATTGGTGACTCTTTTTTTGGGAAGAGTTAATTTCAAAGCAAGAATGAGCACCGCTAGAGTGTTGATATGCGATTCCTGAGCAAGGTCTTAGGTTTATTAGATTTTCATTATCAGTTTCCTTCATTTCCTCCATCTTTCCAACCACAGAAGTCACTTCTTCATCTTTATCATCCTCTTGTTCCCCGAACTCACATATCTGCTTGCGAACTTCATTCTGTTGATCGGCTAAACCCACACCGACAAAACCATTACTTTTCGAAACGCCCCTCGATAATGCAACTGACAAATCAGCATGACCACCAAGAGACAGATGGGCATCAAGCAGTTCTTGGGGCACACGACTAGATATCCGGCGACGCCGAGATACACCTTTGAGGATAAAAATAATTACAATAATAGTGATAACAAATAAGGCATAATAGATAAAAGGATAAATACTAGATTTTTTGAGGAAACAACCGGCCAGAAAAGTATTAGCAAGTATTTACAGAGCAGGTTTTAACATAGAAACAAAACATCATTCAATAAAAAGAAAAAAATAAACACAAATTTCATTGAAATCTGCGAAATCGAACCGCTTATATCAGGATATAACTGATGAATGGGACAATTGTGGATCGCACTATCTGCAAAATACTCAGGCAGGTTTTATAGTCGCATCTTAACTATTCCTCTGGTACATTTTATTGTGGTTGACCAACGATTCCATGGATAATAAGGGTCCCAGACAAAATAGCATGAATTCATAAGGGTGTGTGGAAGTATGGTGATTTTACATATCCTTTATAGGATCAAAAGTGCTTAAGGAGATTTTGCCAGTTACTCAGTCTCTGATATCCTGAAGCTGCAGAATTGCAACAATTATTCAAACTCGAGTGAATCATTAAGCGAAT